CAAGGTGAAAGTATCTTTTCTCAGTGATTATTTATTTTAACGAGATCTCGAGGTCAGGGTCATTATACTTTTTTTCTTTACGATCAATTTATGTTTATTTCAAAAATGTATTTAAAATGTAGCGCAACTGTTCCGCGATAGTTTGAGGTCGTTTGTTCGCTAGAATACGAAAGTATGGAACAACGAAGCAACAACTAAATCGAAGGAAACTCTCGAGAAATTTAAGATTCTTCTTAATTACTTTGGTCCGACGAAACACGCTTGATAAGAAGGGATGAAGAAACGAGCCCCCGTCTTCTTTAAATTGATTAATAGGGGTGGCCGCATCCCTTCGCGCAAGTCAAAGGAAAATATATGGAGCTTGTACTTTCCAGTAATATCTCAGTCGTAAGTTTTCCTCACGGTAATGAAAATCGAGGATCGATGGGAAGAATTTGTTACATCGATCGGCGCGTGTAAAGATTTTCTTTATTTAGACCCAAATGGAGTTCTCGACAGAATGTTGCAAAAACGTCTCGGAGAAACGTTGAAAAATGTTCCTCGTAACTAGATCTGTCTTAATCCCCTAGATTGGAATTTTCTTTTTGAAATGATGTTTGCCGCGCGATTTCTTTCTTTGCAGTTTCGTTCAACTTCGAAAATTAGGCTTGGAGAACGAAACGTCGAGATCCCTCGAATTTTTGTCATTTGAACGCCATTGTTCAAAAATGTTCGATGAGGCGGTGGAAAAAAAAAAAAAAAAAGAAATCGTACGACAAATTTTAAGAATTCGGGTCGTTGCAAAGAGAAAACTTCAGTCTTCATGATCGTGTTGAACGTAGCGACGAATAAAGTGGCCTAACGCTCTCACAGACGGTTGAATTTTTTCCAATTTTCAGGAATAAAAGTACAACCTTATTTTCTCGTTTTTGCTGCTCGATGTAGAAACATCTTCGAGGAATACTCCGGAGGATTGTCAAAGTAGAGACATTACGCTTTGAAACGAGACCAGCTGGATTGTTGTACGACTTTTTCTTTTTGCAAAATTATAGGTTTGCATTGTAAAATTAATTTTCATCGTTTATTAATTCGGTTATAATTCTTCATCGTCTATGATTGATTAATCGAGATATAACGTGATATAACGAATAATAATACAGATAACTGACAAGGCTAAATTAGAATTAGCCTTGTTTGCTTATTTTTACCATTTTCATTAAGAAAGATTGCGTCCGGGATGGAGAAGATATTTTTTTCCCACCTGAGAGAAACGACGACGCCGAAAAAGGAACAATGCGAATTTTCAGAGACTCTTCGTTCCTTCTTTTTTTTTTTCGTTCTTCCATTCTCTTGTTCTTCCTTTCCATACATTTCTTTTTTTCCTTTCCTTTCTCTTTTTGTTCTAATGAGAACTATTGACCCATATTCCTCGTTCTTCTGATCTTGTTCTTTCTTACCTCGTTGTTAGCTCGAGCGATAATTAGAAAACTTCATCTCGTTAATTGCAATGTTTACATGATTTTAACGGAATTGACATTTTGTTTCGTCGGCAGGATGGGTCACAAAACTTTATCGAAGAATTTATCAAAGGATAAAAAGTTGTCTCAATCGTCAACATTTCAAGAATAGTTGGATAATATTTTAATCGTTGAAAGTGTGATTCGTTCAGTCTCACTGTCGACTAATTGCACGCCATAATTCGAGGTTGTGCTTCCTTGCCTGAGAAATTTCGTTCTTTAAAGCGAAAAGTAATTTTGTTTGAAAATTAAATAAATTATTTTCGAAACGGAGATATCTTCTTCCATTCTTGCAACAATTGGAAGATAAAGAAAAAATCTGGACAAAAATCACAAGTTAGAAATCAGAAGTTTGAAGTCTGAAAAATCAACGTTTTCAAAAGTCTTGAATTCTTAATTTCTCCTTTGCAAACTGTGAATTCGAAAACTCGTAAATTATTTCAGTAATTCCAATTTTCTCAATTTCTGGCTTTCAGTCTGTTCTCTTTTTTTATTCCAATTTAAATACTGGAATGAAATAACATCGACTCGAACTTCGTCTCCTTGAATTTTCAACATTGCGAATTTCCAGCTGCGAGTTTTAAATTGCAAATTTTTCGTCAAGCGTCTCGAGTGTCTTTAATCCGAGGCAGTGACTCGTACGTTGACTCGTATCACTGCGACTCTCAGCCGTATCCAGATATGTACACCGGCATCCCTCAGGAGGGTAAGCAAAGCTTGTGAGTGCTGAAATAAACATAGAAATAAAGATAGAGGCGAAAGGAGGAAAGCCTGGCGACAGCGAACAGAGCGCGTTCGCGTAGAAAATTTTTTATTTCCCAAAAGCGTCTCTCTCACAATTTCCAAGGCTTTCGAAACAAAAAGTTTCTTCAAAATTCCTTGAAACATCGTCGCGTCTTACGCGTTTGTTCTTGAAAAGTGATTAATCGATGCACTCACACGAATGGAGAGAAATTAATCTCTCTTTCTTGTTTTTTACGTGAAAAATTAAATTTTCATTTCACTCGAAGAATTTATGACAACATTGCACAATGGAACGCACTGTCTGTATGTGTGTAATAAATGAGTATAAGTGTCGTGGATCGATGAAAGGTTTCAGTATAGCCTGGAGCCACGAATTTTCTCGGTGACGACACTGCACATCGAGTTTCCTTTTTTTTCTTTTTTTTTTTTTTTTTTTTTTTTTTATTTTTCTTTTCAACTTTAATTTTTTTTTTTTTTTTTNTCACATATATTTCGTCGTATAAAGTTTTAAATATAATTACATAATTGAGTTGAGAAGACTTCTTTCCTTTTTTTTTTTTTTTTTTTTTTTTTTTTTTCTTTCATTTTTCCTTGCAACTTTAACGTATCTTGTTATCTGTCGAGTGAGCACACACCTGGGGCAATAAAATTGAAAGAGGCAAAAGAAAGAAGCGGCGCCCCCTCTTACAGAACTCTCGCACGGGCCTAATCTTGGTTCTTGCAGCATTTATAATAGCTTTTTAACAAAGCAGGATCTTGTAGACTATTTCTTTTTCATCGTTCTATTTATTTTTGCGCGACGATCTTTTTCTTATCAGTAGTATTTTAAATAGAATTTTAAGTACAAATATGAGCAGTTGAAGATTTTTTTCTTCAGTCTTTTCTGTGAATAATTTTAATAAAACCAACGAAAGTCAAAAATTTTATGCAAACGGTCAGATAGTGTGTTTCATGGCATTCCTTACAACGAAACTCTGATATTCTTCTGACGATTTTATACTTTAATTTCACGTGTATATTAACGTCAAATAAAATTTTCGTGAAAAGATACACGCTATAATTTCAAATTTAAATAAAAATACAAAGTCAAATATTTCTCATTCATTTTATAATATAGAACCAAGCTGTATAAATCTTTATTAAAATTATTTTGTAACAGTAATTCTTACAATATAATTTCTTATTGATGTTATTCATCTTCTGACGACTTTATTTTATTTTATTTTATTTTTTTTTTTTAGAATAATTTTACATAACAAATAAAATTTCCATTAGAAACTGTAATTAAAAATTCTAATTTCATGTACAAATTCATGTAGAATATTCTACGATATATGATCTTTAAAAATTCCTACAATTTTTTTATTAACATTACTTCTCCGACGATTCTATTTTTTTTTTTTTTTTTAAGAACAATCTTATGCAGCCTGAAATAAAAATTTCCATTAAGGAATAAACGTAGAATTAAAAATTCTAATTTCACGTATTCATTCTGCGATGTACATATGTACGTATAGCCAAGCTCTTCAGATCTTTATTAAAGTCATTTTCATACTCATTTCTACAATTTTTTTGTCAACATTATTTCTCTGGCGACTTTAATATGAAACTTCAAACAAAAAAGATAAAAAAAACTCCAATCTCGAGTATAACAAGAAATTCAAGAACAAAGTAAATAATTCTCACAATAATTTCTTCTTAGTATTACTTCTGTGGAGTAATTCCGAGTAAAATCTTCATTGGAAAGAAAAAAAAAGAAAAAAAATACACGTTGCCGGTTGAAAATTTCAATTTCAAGGAAAATAAAATTTCTCTTTAATAAGGAAAATCCTCGTTGATATTATTTTCACAATAATTCTTGTCGACGTCTCTTCCGTGATAAAATTTTCCCTTTGTTCCCAGCAAAGTTCAAACGATATATTAATTATCGGTCGGATCGTTCTCCCATTGGTGAATTTTCACGTAAAGTATTATACATCGGCTCGTTTTAAAACCGCGAGCAAACGCGACAGAACGATGCAATCTACGATAGAGTTTTAATAAACGCGCGCGTTTTCGTTCATGAAGCGCCATTATTGCAATTTATTTCATTGCGCGGACAAGGAAGAAATACGTGCAAGCGATGAACAATTGGAATCATAATATTGATATCACTTGGTTAGGTTATTAATTCACTTATAACGAGAGAACGACGAAATTCGATTGGAGGTTGGGAACTTTTGTCATTTTTTTCACTTTGTAGTTGAACTTTTCACAATGTGCTTTTCTGTTTGCTATTTGGACTCGACGTTCCAATTCAGGATCAAGAACTTGACAAATAAATCGAGTCAGTAAACAATAATAATAATAATGAATCTCTTTCGAGTCTCGAATTTTTAATCTCTACTTCCAAACTACGAATTCTTAAATTCAAACTTTCCACTAAATTGTTCCATCTCAAGTTTCAAATTCCAATTTTCTAAATCATTTTATTCCAAGTCTCTTCTGGTTTCCGACTTTCCAATTTCTAAATTCCAGATCTCTGACGCCGAATATGCTTCAGTTTTCAGATTTCTGATCCGAAGTGTCGACCTCGGAATTCGAAATTTTCCAAATTCTCTGCTCGCGACTTTCATGTCGAAGAGTAATTAATATTAAAATAAGTAAAAAAGAAAATATTGAAATATTATATTCTGAACACTTGTTCTTTCGTACTTTCGCGTTAATTAGTACTCTCGCCTCTTTGTCAAATATTGAATTTGTGTGTTTGTTCTGTCGCAGCTGAACACGGAATGGGCACAAGTTGAAGTTATAGATCTCATCAACGATGGCAGTGGTCTTGGATTCGGAATCGTCGGTGGGCGAAGCACTGGTGTCGTCGTCAAGACAATTCTTCCGGGGGGTGTCGCCGATCGAGTAAGTTTATCGCAAACACGATCGTCCTCTGATACTTGAACTGTATTAAAAAGCGTAACGTGAAAATTTAGATAAACGTAGAGTAAGACAAAAATTTAATATAAAAGTCTTTTGAACTTTTTGTACAAAAGTACTTTATTATATACAATAAAGTATAAAAGTATTTCAATTATTATTAAGATAGACAAACATTTATGTGAAAGTTGAACTTCTTTAGTCACGAATTTAGATCCTAACGAATTATTAGTTCAGAAGATTAAATGTCTAAATTATTTGACTCGAAACTCGTTGGTTCAATATAAAATTGAATTTCAACGAAAACTTCTATAAGAATTTGGACAATTGTAGATTATCTCGAACGAACAGTTTGGAAGGAAGAAACTTATTCGATTCGAGATTCATTGATTAAAAAATTGAAAGAGATTCTCTCTTTAACCGCTTGCGCTGGCAACCGATTGCGGACCATAACGAGTGACCAAAAACCGTATGTACAATAATTCGTCGCTTTCTTTTTGAACTGGTCGGTATGTATACATCAGTGGATAGAAATTATTGAGAAGTAATAGATTTATTATTTGTTTTGCCTGTGTTATACTTAAATATACTTAAAATTGAGAGAATATTTCAATTTGAAGTATTGGGACAAAAGATTCTCGACGTTCTCGCGGCACGTCATTCCAGCGCAAGAGGTTAAATTTGAACTTCAACCGCAATAATTCTAATTATGATTCAAATCTAATCTAATTTATCTAAGTATAGTTACACCTAACTGATCTAATTACATAGTCAAAATAATTCCAAGTTCAACAATTCCAATTGCCAGAAATTGTTGATTGCTCCTACTTATTAGTTTCGAGCGTTACATAAGTCTCAAGCAAATCTACTCGAATTTTAATCCAAGATTAAAAGAGATTCTCTTTCAACATCGAATTGAAACTCTCAACTATGTTCTATATAACGAACAATTCTCAATAATTAATTGCCAGTTAAAATTAATTCTCGTCGATCTCAGATAAGAAAAGCACGCGAATTTGGTTGTCGTAAATTCTTTCTTCAGCTGCTTCGGATCCATCGTTTTTAGCTTTCGATAAAGTCCGCCAAATCGAATTGGTCGCGAGAACCGGAAGTCCGTCGACGACTGGCCGCGGAAATTGCCATCGATGAGAAATCTCGCGGGGGGAGAAAAAAAAAAAAAAGAATATATACGTATATGAAACAAACGAAGCAGGAGCGTTTAAGCACGATCGATTGCCGAATTAAACACGGTTGGTTCGCGGTGCGAATTGCAGGATAATCGGCTGCAGAGCGGGGACCATATATTGCAAATCGGCGATGTCAATCTGCGGGGAATGGGAAGTGAACAGGTTGCGGCAGTCCTGCGACAATCCGGCACGCACGTGCGCCTCGTTGTCGCCAGACCTGTCGAACCAACCTCGCCAGATTACCAGGTATTGTATTCCAGATTTTTTATTTTTTCCCCTCCCCTCCCCCTTTCGTTCTCTCTCTCTCTCTCTTTCTTTTTTGCTTTCAGTGCTGCGAGATTTGTTTAACAAATTTCAACTCGCGTGCGAATCTATTGCGAAACTCTGCGCGTGGTCTCTTCGAGATCTCGATCAAATCATTTGCCAAGTGTTTGTACGTTTCTTGACGAAAATCATGGGAAATATAATTATATAATAGGAAGCATGGGAAATATAATTATATAATAGAAATCATGGGAAATATAATTATATAATAGAAATCATGGGAAATATAATTATGTATATATATCAATGTATAATAATTATATAATAAAAGCGGAAATATACATAATTATATAATTATATAATAGAAATATACATAATTATATAATTATATAATAGAAATTTACATAATTATATAATTATATAATAGAAATATATATAATTATATAATCATATATGGGAAATATAATTATATAATGGAAGCGCAACTATCGAGTTGAAAGGGCTGAAAGGTTTAAAAATTTTGCGTTGAGGCTTGAGGGCGGTACAGGATGTCGAGAGATAGATATATTTGAAGGTTAAGAGATTTGAGGAATCGACGTTTGAAGTGTTTCAAAAGTTGGAAATTCGAGAGTTCGATAATAACTCGAGAATACGAACGTTTAGGAAGTTGAGCAGTTTGAGAATATTTGAGTGTTCGGATGTTCGATGAACTAAGGAATTTAAGCGTTTTGTCGAGAATTTTGATATTTGAAAGTTAGGAGAATGTAGAAGATCGATCGTGCACTCGAGGATTAGGCGAGAGATTAGATTAAATTGTCGAAAACTTCAAAAATTCAGGAGTTCTCCGAAACTGAAAAATTCCACTCACGATAAGACATTTCAGAACCGGCTGAAACATTTTGAGGTTTAGATTGAATTCCAAAGTTTTGAAATTTGAAAATTATAAGAGCTTCGGTCAATTTAGAAATTTCATTATTTTAATTTAAGGAATTACAATTTTTTTAAAATTTAAAAATTCAAGATATATATATATATATTTATTTATTTATTTATTTAATAATTTAACAATTTTATTAAACGTTTATTGAGATTTCTCTACAAGATTAATATCATACTTATTAAAACTGGGGAGGAGAAATATTTTTCGTTGTCTTTCTTATTATTCTATTCAACCGGGGGATTTCTTAGCATTAACTAGGGAAGTCTAATGAAATGGCTTGATCGAAATTCACCTTAATTGAATGGCAGCGGGGCGTTTTCATTAAATCATCTGATCGGACTGTTTGCACGGTAAATACTGTCATAATTGATCGCCTTTAGTTCCCTAGGAGGCATTATTAAATTGAAAGCACCTCAGTCGCTCGACTTTTCTCGTTTTCATATCAGCTCGTATTTACTTCCCGTGATACAGTATATGTACTAGGTGTTACTAAAATAAATTTACTCACGCGGCAGAAAATTGTTTTCGGATCATTCAGATTTTCATTTAACACCCGTTATTTTAGTACATTAATTTTTGCAATTTTTATAATTTATAGATACGAAAGAGTGCGTGATTTTTGTGAAAATGTTATCGATTTAATAACTAGCTTTAAAATGCAATTTACAATTTTGTATCGTTTTACAATTTTCTATCTTCTTTTTTTTTTTTCTTTTACCAAAAACGTCCAGGAAAGGAAAGGAAAAGAAAAATTTTCTGTGTTCGTGTCGATGATAATAAACAAATTTTCACTAAATGAAAATAAAGAGATGGCTAGATATATTTTTCGTTGAATTGCATGAAATAAAATGAAGGAAATTCTCGTCCTCGGTATGGAAATTCGGGCCAGAAATTCCAATCGAACGGCACTCGGTTTCAGGCACTCGGCAGCCACGCTCCGATCGTACCCACGAAGATTCTGGGTGACCCCGACGAGTTGGATCGTCACTTGGTGCACAGCGTGCCGGAGACGTACAACATTCGCCACGTGCAGCCCGACAACGCGTACGACAACGGTTACATGTACTCTCAGGAATCCGACGTCGAGATGCACGTGAGTCCTCGTCATTTTTACCATTTGATCCCTTCGTTTCGTTAACACTCTCCCCTGTTACCTCTTCTCTTCATCTACGATCAGCCATTAGTTTATGTTTTCAACGTGTGCGAGATGAGGGATGATTTATCGTGAGTAGCACTACTTCGATAAATCGTAAGAAATTTTGATTAAACACAAGCGTTCGAAAATATTTCAAAACGGCCGAGATGAATTTCGTGCTCGTGAATTGAACTCAAGAATTGGCCATTTTATTTTCTCTTGTGTTTTGTTTCGATTTTATAATTTTTAATCGTCGGTGGTTTTGTTTTATCTTGTGTTTCGTTCGACTTCGTTAAATTTCATCGTTGGTAATTTTATTTATTTCGTAATTTGGTAATTTTATTTATTTCAAAATTTTATTTCGTAATTTGGTAATTTTATTTATTTCACAATTTTATTTCGCAATTTCGTAATTTCGTTTATTCCGTAATTTTATTTGATTTTATCCTCTATTTCAAACAAATGCAACGGTGTTTTATAAAAAAGTCATGCGTATCAGTATCAGTATCCTTCTTTATCTTTCAGAAATTAATTAATTATGTTATGATGTCGTGTAAGTTCTCCAGTTACATTCATGAATTAGAGAGTATCAAGTATTAAGATGTGATGACAAAATCGTAGATTTTTATGCATAAAAACAAAGATACAGAGATACAAGAACAAAAACACGAGAAAGAATTTTGCATAGAAATCCACATCTCACTGGCAACATTTTTTAGAAACACTTTTTCGAAACACTTTTTCAAAATTTACCATTTTGTGTATCATCTTCTTGAAATGAAAATAAATCATCATCTCTCTTGTTTGTTTCTTAAGAATCGAACAATACCGATTGTGTATTCACGTGACGAAATTAAAAAAAAAATCAGTTTGATAGGCCATCCTTTTCTCCTTTAATTTTTCTTTGACCACTTGCGCTGGCAACTGGTTCGCGAGCCGTAACGAGTAACCTGGATTATACTTAAAATAATAATATAAAATACTGTATAAAATAATGATAATAAAATATATAAAACAATAATAATAAAATATATAAAATAATAATAAAGAAAATATACTTAAAACTGAGAAAATATAGCAATTTTAGGACAAAAAATTGTCGACGTGCGTGGCAAAATACATAAAACAATAATAATAAAATATATAAAATAATAATAAAGAAAATATACTTAAAACTGATATAAAAATATAGCAAATTTGGGACAAAAAATCGTCGACGTGCGTGGAAAAATACATAAAACAATAATAATAAAATATATAAAATAATAGTAAAAAAAATATACTTAAAACTGAGAAAATATAGCAATTTTGGGACAAAGAATCGTCGACGTGCGTGGAAAAATATATAAAACAATAATAATAAAATATATAAAATAATAATAAAGAAAATATACTTAAAACTGAGAAAATATAGCAATTTTAGGACAAAGAATCGTCGACGTGCGTGGAAAAATATATAAAACAATAATAACAAAATATATAAAATAATAATAAAGAAAATATACTTAAAACTGATATAAAAATATAGCAAATTTGGGACAAAAAATCGTCGACGTGCGTGGAAAAATACATAAAACAATAATAACAAAATATATAAAATAATAATAAAAAGAAAATATACTTAAAACTGAGAAAATATAGCAATTTTGGGACAGAAAATATCGTCGACGTGCGTGGCACGTCATTCCAGCGCGAGAGGTTAACAGATCTCATCCTCTTCTCCATATTCCTCTCGAGAAGTACACACATTCGCGTATCGTTGGTGAATCGTATTGCGTCGACGGTGTTATCTGGACAAGGATGATTGTTCGGTAGGCAAGGCCAGGCCTCATCATGGACGTAGTACGCAATCCAATGCCAATTGGAGCGATGCCAGTGATACCGACGGTTCCGGTACAGATTCCGGAGCTTCCGGTCCTCACCATGGACACCATTGATGTTAATTCACTGCCAGAAATGGAACGATTCACCGTCGAGCTTAAGAAGGACATTTACGGCCTTGGGATCACCATCGCTGGATACGTGTGCGAGAAAGGTAATACCTCGCGTGCGAGAAAGAATTATAGGGTTTGCTGGTACCGCGTGAATTCGGCGCCGGAAATACACATTTACTTGGAAGGCTCGTGAAATTTTTATTCCATGGGGCTCGGCTGGGAAACTCGAAGCGCGCACTGAACTATTATTGCACACGTTGTTACGCTTTGTATATTTCCAATCACTTTCGTATTTCGAGACATTTGGAAGTTTGGACGTTCCGAACTTGATTTCGAAATTTCGGGACTTGCTCTAAAGTTAGGGAGTTTACGAAATTTGGGAACTTAGAGGTTTGACGGTTGGTTTGAAGTTTGGGATGCTCGAAGTTTGTTGAGAGAGTCTCGAGAATTTCTTCGGGAAATTTCGAAATCGAATTTTCGAAATTTGAAGGAAGTTTGGAAAATTTCGAAATTTACAAAGCCAGGAGCACGATTACGACAGTTGAAAGAAATTTGACATTTCGGAGGATCATGGAAATTTGAATCTGGAAACTGAAAAGTTTGGAAATTCCAAATTTCCAACTTAGTGAAACTCGGAAGATTCCGCAGTATCTTCGAACTCTTTCAAATTTCTAAACTTCACACTCTGAACGATCGTGCAAAACAATGCTTCCGAAACTTCGTACCTAAAGATTCGTAAATCTCAAAGTTTGAAAGACCAGATGTTGATTGAAACGTCGACGAGTTCCTTAATGTCGGTGAAAGTACTCGACAAAAAAATGTAATACGACTTCAATGCAAATGCAAATGTTCTCTTTCTGACCATTATTTTGTTTCACTTGGATTGCAGAGGAGCTGTCTGGCATCTTCGTGAAGAGCATCAGCGAGGGTAGCGCGGCAGACTTGAGCAACAAGATCCAAATAAACGATAGAATAGTGGAGGTGGACGGTCATTCTTTACAGGGTTACTCAAATCACGAGGCCGTCGAGGTATTACGCCGCACCGGGCAAACGGTAGTTCTATGCCTGGAGAGATATCTACGTGGACCAAAGTACGACCAGCTTCAACAGGCAATCGCGGCCAGTGAACTGAGACTACCTCAACCGAGCTCCCCATCAATCACCAGTTTGCCAAGCTTCCCAATTAGCGCGGTATGTCATCGTCCCCCATCGAGACAACTTATTAAGATTCATTAAAATTGATGGCGTATCATTTTTGACAAGTTTGACACTCGATATTGGTTGTTATTATATTTTTATCTTATGTGGATTAACACGTTCAAGATGGACGGAGAGCTATAATTCTCATGTTTAAAAAAAAAAAAATATATATATATATATCTTTCTTTCCTTCAGTTACTGTTGAAATTTGTAGCAATGACAAAAAAAGAGAAAGACACGTCGATACCAAAAACCGTGGAAATTTGTTGCAGTTATCGTACAACCCAAGTGAATGAAATTAATTATCGAAGGAACGATTAATGTTGGATTTTTAAAAAACTGCAAATATATTTCCGAGAAGAAGCCCTTGTCGTTTCTTAACGTTTGGAAATTAATTTCTCTTTTCGAACGTTCCACGGAAACGATCATTTGAAACTTTGAAATTATATTAGGAAACGTACGACACGAGATTCGAAACCATTCGGTTGCAGTTAAAAGCGGCTACAATGTTAAAATAGAAATATTGAGATGCGTGAAAATCTCTGATAGAATTCGTTTCTTTCGCAGAAGAATTTTCGCAATTTTCACAAAATGAAGTCACATTCAAGGCACGTCTGTTTACAGGATGGAGAGACTACTACTGAGATAGAACCGGAAGGAGAATCGCACACGACTGTCGACAGCGCTGTTCTACAAGAGGGTGAACGCGAAAGAGCCTCGGAGGAATTAGATGACGCTGCCAATGTGGAGGCTTTGTTGAGCGACCCATCCAGCGAGCTTACACCTCAGATTCGAGCCGCCATTAAGGCGAAATGGCAGAAGATTGTGGGTCCAGACACGGAAATTGTGGTACGTACACTGTTAATCTGATCCTGAATAACGTGTACATGTTTTAAAATTGTTAGAAATTTATTAATCAGAATTCATTGCGTTCGTTTTGATCGAGAACGTTATACGACGATGTATTAGAAACTTGCAAACATGTGAACGAGTTAAGTTGTTAAAGAATTCCACTTCTAGGGGGAAACTTGGCTTCTAAGATTTCAAAGATTTTGGAATCTTAGAGATCTGAAGAGTTTTAAAAATTTGGATGAGGACAAAAAAATGACGAGAACAATTCTTTTTGTCTGTTTGAAATAGGTAGCGCAATTGAAAAAATTCGCGGAAGGCAGCGGCCTTGGAATAAGCTTGGAGGGGACGGTGGATGTGGAGAATGGACAGGAAGTCAGACCGCATCATTACATAAGATCGATCCTCCCGGAAGGACCGGTGGGACAAAATGGAACGCTGCGTTCCGGGGATGAATTGCTGGAGGTACAGCAACATTTTCGTTACCGAGTTCAAGAAACTTTCCTTGCCTTTAAATCCAATTACCATAAAGGATTAACATCTCTGGCGGAGTCTGAAGTTTGTCTAGTTGGTTCATCTCATCAATTGACTGATAACAAGCATAATTTCTGTGTACTTACTAGATCTTTCCAAGTGAAAATAAATTTAAACAATTCAAGATTACAAAATCATTAAACATTTGAAATTATAGAGTTGTTCGTGTCAATTGATCTTGAAATAATTGTGGCTTGGATATTTCATGACAGTTTCATATTTTTACGGATATAATTAAAGAAATTAAACTTGAATAAATGTTTGTTATTTTTTATTATTTTCTATTATGTTTTATTATTTTTGTATTTTAAACCTATAAATTATTACATTTAAAATTATACCAAATGTAGAATATTAATTTATTTTAATGTCGTGGATCCATAAATATATATAATCTATACATCTTCTATTTTATCGTTTAATTTTTTCAAATTAATTTCCAATCACGTGCCATGTGCAATCTATAAAATACAAACTATATCATTGAATGTATTATCAATTACAAAATACAATTTCATCAAAAGACACTTCAAACTCAACCATCTTTCCCATAACACAATCCCACCCAATAATATATTAATATATAAGAATACATTCTGATCCATTAGTATTCAACTTTGCTTCACTGTTAACAGGTGAACGGATACCGATTGCTCGGCATTAATCACATGGAAGTAGTTAGCGTGCTAAAAGAATTACCGATACACGTTCGAATGGTCTGCGGAAGGAACATCGCCTCGCAGGATCCCCTCTGTCCTATCGACACCGCTCAGCATCAAGCCGCGTTCCAAACGAGAGTAAGAAATTGAACATCCTCCAACGATTGGCAGTGCAATTCGAGTTTGCAATATCGGTATTTCGAGCGTAACCAGGTGAAACGTGTTTTATAGAGCATCCTTGGCGGATCTCTGCAAAATTTACTGCCAACGATGGACCGTTTGGTGAAGGCCAAGTCCGATGGCTCGCTGGCATCGACGACCACCACCGCTACGGTGACGGATGCAAGCTTGAATAAGATGAAGTCGCGATCTTTGGAACCGTTGACCGGTCTGGCGATGTGGAGCTCCGAACCGCAGATCATCGAACTGGTAAAGGGAGAACGGGGCCTTGGGTTCTCCATTTTGGATTATCAGGTATGAAAGATGTTCCTTTGATTTATTTGGATTTTCTGCCCCATTATCGATTTGATACCTCATTATTTATAATATTGTTCGTAACATTTTGTCAATTGATGTTTTATTTGATTCAGTACCTTATTTGTAATATTATCCACGTTTTATTAACCGGTACTTTATCATTTGTATTTTATTAAATTTTAATTCAATACTTTATTATTTATAACATTACCGGTGCCTTATTAGCTAGTATTTTATCGAAGTTTATTTGATTTGATATCTTATTTAGTATTTGTAGGATGATTTGTATTCCATTAATCCTCGATCAAACATAAGATAATCTCGAGATTAAAAATAAAGTAATTTTTTTTCAATTCTTACGCGTTTTACATTTAATCCAGATAAATTTCTTTCACTATATATCCCTTCAAGCATTCAAAGAAATGGGAACACGTTGTGCAACGAAGGAACTTTTTATATTATGTATTTGGTAAAACGTGATGGCTAAATGATAAGCTTCTTGATGTTATTGCGTAATGGGAGAAGCCATGAAACGACGCAAGTCAATTGAGATTTTGTTCTGTTCACGTTTCTCAAATAAAACCTAAGGCTACATTCCTCAATATACAATAGCAATCTCAAGAAAAGTTCCTTCTTACACTTATAAAATTCAAGCTTCTAAATTCCAGATCCTCTTTATCCTTTCAATTTTCATCGAGATTCTAAAACCACCCCACTAACGGTCTCCCATCCGCCTGTTTCAGGATCCAATGAACCCCAACGAGACTGTGATAGTAATAAGATCACTGGTACCTGGTGGTGTGGCTCAAGTAGACGGTCAATTGATACCAGGCGATCGTCTGCTGTTCGTCAACGACATCGCCCTCGAGAACGCGACGCTAGACCAGGCGGTGCAGGCGTTGAAAGGCGCTCCAAAGGGCACCGTGCGCATCGGTGTGGCCAAGCCATTGCCCATCCCAGACAGTATTGTCCAGGTGAGCGATCAGGAGGATCGGATCGAACCGACCGTTGATAGGGACAGCGAGGCGACCGCGTGCTCGATCATGGACAGCCACAAACAGAGGCGAGAATATTTCAGGGAGCGTAAAGTGAACGTGATCGAACCGCCTCATCACATGGATTTGATCGAGGGTTTGAAGCATCAGCACAATCTTGTCAAGTCTGAAAGTTTTTAAGAGAATAATGACTTGGAAATGGAAATCAGAGTGAAACGGGAATCTCTTACTCCTGGATATGTAATTGTCTTCTGTTTGAACACACTGTAGTTTGTGTTTTGCTGGTTTATTTAGATAGTAGAATATGGAGATAGATGGAAGAAGGGAAGTTGAGAGATGAATAGTGAGGAAATATTGGATATTTTTAGGAAAGAAAATTAAGGATAAGAGAGCAATGGGTAAATTTGAAGTATAACTTAGAATTTTTCAGCCGCTGAATGTTTGAATGGTTAAATTTTTTAATCCTTAAATTTTAGAATTTTTAAGTTATCGACCTTTGAAATTCTTAAAACACTATATTGTCGGTATATGAATTTATTGCAGAAGAAAAAGAAAAGGAAAGTTTTCCACTGGATTTGTTAGTGTAACTGTTAATAGAGATATAGTGAAAATAAAAAAGAAATATTCTGCTGGTGCTCGAACGAGCATTGGAAAATTGGATAATTCGAAAGTTTCAAATTTAATTTCAAAATTAAAATAGGAGTTCTGAAGTTTAAGAATTAAAAGCATTTGACGAATTAAACATTGCGGAAATAATGTAAGATCAGGCAAAGTAAAGTAAATATTCTTTAGAAGTATAATCATTTTTTGATTTCCTCGATGACATAGACAGGAGTAGAAGATTTCCAGAGTATTCTGCGAGTTGTAGTTCTGACAGCATTCGACCAACGTAGCTTTGGCAGTTATGTTATACTTTGTTACAACAAAACATCTGTGACACTATTGTATAAAGAAATTCAAGTTGAAACAGTAGAACAATCTGAAAACTACGCACTGTTAGGATCGATATAATCCAAATATATATCCTACGTTTTAGCGACTATCCTAACACTAGAAAGATCAATTACTTGTTACTTTTAAAAAGATAAATTCAATAATTTCAAATTCAAGTAATCAAGTAATAACTATAGACATTTAGAGTTTTAAATTTTAATTCTTCTTATTTTCGTTAATAAAGAATAGGTGATAAAAATGAAAATTCTAAAATTATGTAACCTTTAAGTAAGTAATTAGAAAAATAAGAATGTTCTTTTAAAATAATAACCTTGAAGCTTAATTTTTAGTAATTATACGATACAAGGAAAGTAGTGTCCTAACATTATATATATATATTCAAACTATACTAGCCTATTCTAAATAACAGAGATGATCATTCTCTAATATCGATCGTTCCTTTTTGTCTCAATTTACATAATTCATCTTGACAAAGTTACATTGGTCGAACTGCACGCGTTGCATAAGTAAATTTAAAAGAAATCAATCTGTGCTTGCTCAATCCCGTCGTTGCGTCTTGGAAACATATATATTCAGCCTCTGTTTCCGCGTCTGTCGAATCTGGATTCGCCTCGCGGCTCGCGTGTCTTCGAGACGACCGACTTTCCCAGCGAGATTGGTATCGGTTAGACTTTTTTCGATTTTTTTTTCCTGGACATGTTCTTCTTTCTTTTTTTTTTTTTTTTTTAATTATTGGTTTGCTGTTGGTCTCTTGGAACTTACGAATCAGAGAACATGCTTGAAGGTTTTCTCCCCAGGATCGTTCCTACGGGATGATCGCGAATTTGCAACGATTCCCGCGTGTTTTCCGGAAAAATTCCGTCCTACAATACGTTCCACGTCGTGTGACACGATACTTATTGCAAATGAAGCTCAAACATATATTGAAGTATAACGATAATAGGTGTAAAATGTGAATTCATGAAGTGTACAAAATGTAATAGCTCAGCAGAAGATTGAGTTTTTGTAAAAGGTGCTACACTCTGATTGAAATTAATTGGTATTAGTTCAAGGTCAGTGCCTCCTACCTCCAATATATTGTATTTTCATAACGATCTCGCCACGCGTTTTCGTTGAATTTTGATATTGGCATGGTGACTTAACTTACGTAAATTTTTATATTATGATATGATAATATAAATTTTATATTATGATGAATTTGTATATTTTTATATTGTGATATTATGATAATATAATTTTTATATTGTGATGAATTTATATATTTTTATATTATGCCCAATAACAATGAATGAATATATCTAAGAGTAAATATATCTAAGATAAATTATTGTTTATAACATTTTGCAACGTGTAAAAACAATATAATATTTTAAAGTCTAAGTAAACTAATTTTAAACAATTCTGTGTCCCACAGAACATAGAATTTCATTTACGTTAAATTTTTATTACTTTATTACATTGTAATTTAAGTCGAAGACGAACGATAGACAAATATTACTATTACAAATCAAAAACAAACGGACAGCAAATTATGACAGAGAGAATGCTCCCTGATCTTGAGTAGCCAATTAATTTCAAACAAAACTACATCTACTCGTTGCTGAAATTGAATATCCTCTGTCAAAGTGTCACACGACGTTCAACGTGGCCAGATACCTGTCGCACAGTACTTAATTCAACTTCGTTATCAATTGCGTCGCACAATTGTTTTTAACTTATTAATAGCAATCGCATTAAACAGCGTGTTCGAGCGTGATTTTACTGGAGTGTCGATATCTGTTTCGTTCAATTTGATGAAACGTACGTACGTTGAAACTAATCGTAAGAGACGAAAACTTAGGAATTGGAGACCATTTTTTTTCTTCCTTTTTTTTTTTTTAACAACGCAGTGAAATGTAGACGAGTAGATATAGAATATTATCGATGAAAACTCGATCTTTTTTTTTTTTTTTTTTGTTTCTTTCTACGAAGCTTCTGTCGTTAGCGTCTCTTCTATATTTTCGATCGGTTTTTGTCGATTTTTGTTTGTTCGTTCGCTCCTTGCTGCAGTTACGAAATTTCATTTTTTTTTTTTTTTTCTTTCTACTACTTACGGCAGGAATTAATCATTTTTCTCTTTTGTTTTAGAACAATATATAAGACTATTATTGACCAGCGTAAAATGTTATTACGCGGATTTGTTAGGTGTAATTCTTTGCACAAAGTGGTGTTCTAACGACGATTATTTCCGTCGAATGAGAATTATGAGAAAAAAAGAAAAAAAAAAGAAAAGAAATGAATGGTGACTACGGGATGAATTTTGAATAAAGATTTTACAGCGTGTACGAGTTTTAGATAATAAATAGGGTGCCGTACAGGTTGTTTTTATTTTGTTTAACATTCCATCCTAATACCTTGCTCCGTTCCTGTTTCATTTTTCTTTCTTAAACACTCGTTTCGTCGTTTGTTTCGTTCATTTACGTTCTGTTTTCGTCCACCATTTTTCCGTTCAATTATGTCTTTCATTTGATTATAATATTTTCTCCGAATTGAAAATGTTTCAGGAAGAATACGAACAGGTGAAATTCAAAAAAGTAACAGTAATTCATCGAGGACTTTTATTTAAAATCTCGTCCTTGCAGTAAACATTACAACGAATAAAACGATGACATTCTCGTGCAATAATTCAATAGAAAAATTTAAAATTTTTCGTAATTTGAAAATTAACGATATTCTTCTTGAAACTGTGCGTCTAATATCATCGAACGATCGAATTTGAGACTAGAGAGAGGATCTTTAAACTCCGTCAACGAACTGTTGTTTCGATCAATCTCGTTGATCAAACGTGGCGAACAATTGCAATTAACTTGATTCGGTTTTGTAGGTCGTATTCTATTTTTTTGTTTTTTTCTTTCTTTCTTTCTTCTCTCAACGAAGAAAAATCTATACCCGATGCTCAGCCGGAATCAGTCGGCGGTAATGGATTTCCTTTCGAACTCCGCGGAAGTTAAAAGGCGGGCAAGACTTTGTCCTGGAAAAGCGGAAACGTCCAAAGTAGCAAGTTTGAAATTCCTGAGCCAGCTGTTTGCAGCGCTCGTAAATTAGCAGATTTCCTTTCCGATCTATTCCTCTTATCGATGTAGCAATTTTTCACTGTTGACAGTTTTATCTTTCGTTTTTGTTTAAAATCAGAATACGCGAGCTCTGTTGTGAAAAACAAATTCCGAGAAAAGCCCGTGACGTAGCGATTTATGGTCATTATATTGCATTTATTGCCAGGAAATTCGTGAAACTTTCGCGCGAACTTTTATTTCTCGACTAATTTGCCTTTTGATTATTTCAGATCTCGCGATTTGATCGATCGAAGGGAAGTAGTAAATCACGATTGAGATCGAGTATTAATATTCGTAGGCTAGTGTCGTTTAACAAGGGACAGTTTTTGCAGAAAAACAAATCGTTTCTTGGCTGACTGATTCCGGCGCGATTTAAAATTTGAAAATTTTAAAACTTCGTGTTTTCGCGTAAGAGGAACGGAGAACGAGAAAATATTGAAAGAGTAAATATTAGGACGAGATGGTTCGTGGCAAGCGATACGCATTTCGATCCTGTTTCCTTTTCCTTTTTTGAACTAAGATAAGTGACAATTAATTCTAAAATATTCCAGATGAAATTTAATTACAATTTAATGCACTCGTTCATACAAGAACTGAGAACTGTAAAATTTCTATAATTTCCATTATAACATAACATTTAATTGACGATGAACTTATTAAAATTCTATTCACAATTTGGAGTTATTTTAAGATACAAGAAAATACAGCTTGAACAATAATTTCAAACTTAGAATGAAATATTTAAAAAAAAAGCTCTATTTTATTAAAATTAAAATACTTTTATATACGTGTAATTATTAACTTGCGTATAACGATAATAATAATATTATTCGAAACGAGAAGAAGCGCTCAACCATTTTCTAAAAAAAAAAAAAATTATCTATCTTTTTGAAATTAATCAGAGGGAATGTTGGAAACTTATTCAAATTGCTT